AGATGATGATAAATAACATAGTTATGTATAATATATTACATTTCTGACTGTATATCCCTGTAATTATTACACACTGTAGCTTTAAATATAAACTGCAATCTTTGCCATAAGCAGTGGTATTTTCTTGGTAAACAGGAACCAATTTATTAACAGTAATTATAAAGACACAGCAAAAGGTATCTGAAGTAGTGATTAGATTATTATTATTATTTTTTTTTTGCTTGGTCACTGCAAGATTATTAATTTTCTTATAAACATGCAATTAATGGAGATTTGGAACTATAACAGCAGCTTATTTCATTCTTTTATTTCCTATTTCAGTTTTTCCAAATGAACATCCTGAAATACAATCCTCCACTTCTGATACCAGTTTGAAACTTTCCTTTCATCAAATAAAAACAGGGCATACTACATTAAAACTTCCAAATTAAGTTTGAAGCCGGAGTTTTAGATCAATCACCGTCTGATGGAAATAATTTTAAGATTTCAATCAAACATGGCTGCCTCTGGTATAAAAACACATTTTTGATGTGATGAACACATTTTTGTTCAGGATTTTAAACTCTCCACATCCAGGCTTCAAATATAAAAAACATTTCAGAAACCTTTCAGGAATTTGTCAACGGTAACAAAGAATTTCAGCTACAGGTTGAAACCATAAATGAAATGTAATAAAGAATTTCTGCTCATCCATTTCTCAATGAAAATTCCAATACATATATTAAAAAACTGAGTGTGGTCTTTAATTTTATAATTGTTTGGAAACTGGATATTCTAGCTGTCTGCAGATGCCTTACAGTGTTATAAATGTATTTAAACATCAGCCAATCAGGGGACAAAGAGACAGCGACCTCAACGTAAAACACAAACCGAGACTTTCACGTCTCCTGCCAAGACTTATCTTCAGTTTTGAACGACAGCCAGATTTATTACAGATCTAATATAACTCGACAGGTACACACACAGGCACACACACTTACAGATAATCCAATTTAGAACCATTTTCTTTTCTCTTCCCGGTGGGTCAGGCTCGCATTCGAAATTCATTAATCTCGTTCGTGTATGGGGCATTTTCCAAAGACCCAGGGCAAGTCCTCCTAAGGAGATTACAACACCAGCTCACACAGAGGAAAAATCCCAAAATAAACGCATGCTTAAGAGAGGGAAGAACTGAATGAGAATGGTAGAAAACACAGATAATGAAAGATAACAGTAAGAGTCCCAAAGACAAGACTGGTAACTAAGCAACAGGCAGGAGACCATAAAATATTGTCACATTTTTCCACTTGTGGATGTAAAGCTGTCCTGCAGCAAAGATTACCAACTGCTTGCTTGTTTTCTCTGTGGCGTCAGAAGCGCTATTAATTTGCCCACTCTTTCTTTAACCGGCTATGGAAGCTTAAGTCATTGAGAAAAACAGAGCTTGGCCAGACAGATGTCCTGGCATCTAAGCGGGCCATGAGTCGTGCCAATGAGAAAGCCATGCTTCGAAAAACAAACAGCGAGACTGAAGACGGGCTGAATGAAGAGATCCACTAGGATGAGACTGTGGAGGTCTGCTGTGCCCAAACCTTTTATCACATGTATCAGATTAGCCAAGTCCCAAATGAAGATCACACCTGAACACTGAAATCACAGCTAATTTTGTGTTTTAAATTTTTTTTTACCTACTCCACTATAAACCAAACATTAAACATCTTAATGAAAAAATAAATCTGATTTTCTTTAGTAAAATCTGAGGAATTTGTTGCATTTAAACTGTTAGACAAGGCTTATCTCTTAAAAAAAAAAAAGTATTTGAAAAGATGTTAACATTTTGAAAACTCTTGGTGTCCCTTGTTATAAACAAAGATAAAAAGCAACCCAACTGCATGATGAAGCCTTAAGACATACACAGTATGACCAAGACTCAGAGTGTAGCATACTGGACTCTGCGGACTTAATGCAGACACACAACCAGCACGCAAAGATATAGTTTTCAGACTGTGTACAAGTATTTGGTGTCACACAATAACCACATCAGCTGGAGCAAGTCTTCACGTTGAACTGTTGTTTTGAAACACTGAGCTATTGCAAATGTGAGAAGCTAGATTACTCAAATATTAAATTTTATACGTCTATGCGCCA